CCCCAAAACCCCAAAACCCCAAAACCCCGTGAGGAGAAGGGAAAATTGAAATAATTTAGGAAATGGAGACAGATGGTAAAAGTAGTAAGCAGAGTGGTAAACAGGTTACTCAGATCATTCAGAAAACTACATGTACTTTCTTCTGATGATTTAGAGTTAAAAGGTAAGAGTTGAAGCTAACTTTATTCTTGATCAATCATATTCTTATTTATGTAGTCCTCAATCGAAAAAGAAGGTTCAAGCGAAGATAATTCTTAAGGAGCGTAAGAAGAGTAACAGAAATTCACGTCTTAAGAATCTGCCAAAAATGAAAGTCTCTGATATGAGCCAACCGATGTGCAAGGACAAAAAAGAACTGGTTAATAAAATTCCACTTCCTGAAAAGAAGCAAAGCGAGTTATCAATGAATCAGGCTTCTGAATCTTGACTTCTTCCAATACAATGTTCAACACCGAACGTTTTCTCTTTCAAGAGCAAGGATTCTAAAATGTAGGGTTTTCACAAAATCCTTAATCTTCTTCTGCTTACTAAAACTAATAAATTCGCTTTTCTCTCGCATAAAACTCACGATATTCTTCACTTGTCTTAAACCATATTTCTAATAAGGTAACCTGACGATATAGGGATCAAGATTTGAACATGAAGGCTTTCCAGAAGTTCTTAATGCCATCTGAATCCAGGTAGGGTATCTCCTAGGCATAGTTTTATCTACAATAATGCTGACTTGCAATTTGCGTTCATCTGGTTTTCTTTCTTTAAATATTACCACTGTTGAATCATTCAACAATTTGTCTGGAAATAATATCAAAGAGTGATACATGCTGACATTTTTTTATGAAAACCTTCATTATTCCATGATTCCTTACTTTCTGGATTCTTTTTTACTTGATTCAATAGGAACTCTATGGAGAACTCCTCTAAAAACGAGAGTGATCGAGTTAAAGACATCACTACATTTCATGAAGGTAAGCTATACTCCTCCGAATCTGATCTCAGAAGTAATCAGAAATTCATAACTTGTCCGGGTTAGCTTCGAATCCTTCTAATGAAAAATATAGGCGAGAATTTAAATGTAAAGAAAGAGGCTGATGAATCCAAACCTTCGGAAATAGCTGAGGATAGCCATTTGCCTAAAATAAAGAATAATCCAGAGTTGCCTTCCCATGACGCACAAAAGTAAGCCTCTAACTTACTGTTTTAGCTTAATAAATGATGCTGAAGACTGTATCCGCAAACTTGATGATTTATTTGAAAGACAGGCCAAATCTTTTCTTGAAGAGTATCCTTTAGGAATGACTTATAGTGACTCAGTTTCAGCAATCACCAAGAGTAAATCAGACTGAGAACCCAGGAAAGTTATCCGAAGGAAAGCTAGAGGCAAAAAGAAAGTGAAAAGAGGCAAGAAAGCTAAGAAGGTATGTATCCTCAACTTCTCTAACTTTTAATAGCAAGGAGTGTCCAAGAACAAGGCTGAGCCTTGTTATAATATTGATTTTTGGAAAAACAAGGTACCAATTTCCCCATGTTTTTAATGTTCTACAAATTAATTTAGAAACTTTTTATGCCCTTCGGTTTTCTTTTGATAAAAATAACTTAAGACTAGCTCTCCATTTCTAATCATTAAATGATATAGGTCTTCTCAGCAGAGAGAAGAAGTGATTGATCAGAGTATTACAAAGAGAACTGAGAGAAGAACAAACCTGGATTAATGTATAATAATGAGTAAGCTCTTCATTGTAGATTTTTTGTGATATTTTCCTTCAAAACTTTCAATTCCGATCATGCCTCCCAAATGCTAATCTTGCTGGTATAGAAATGAAGACATGTACGATGATCTAGCTATAAAGTATTAACTGTAAATCTCATATTTATTCAGTTATAATGGCTTAATTCAATAATGAAACACTATCTTGGGGTTTTGGGGTTTTGGGGTTTTGGGG